GAGTTGAATAACCCCAGACTGCAGACCGCAGATCGGGCGGGGCTCAATGTTGAGTGCCTCAACATTGAGCCCCGCCCATATCTGCAGTTTGCAGTAAAGGGGTGCTTGTACGAGTCGGGAGCATCTGTAGTGTTAGAGTGACTAATGACCGATACAATTCTACCTGATGGATAACAAAAGTAAAAAGATTTTCTTTGTTGTGAGTAAAGTAACTGTTAGATCATGATATAAAGGGGAGAGCCAGGTGTGCTCAATAGTTAAAAGGTTAGCTTCTTTTACCTTGGTCAGTTAGCCGAATTAAGTTACACTACTTTTAACTTTGTGTCGACAAAAAATGCTTGTTTTCTAAAATATAATAAATTTTGTTTTAAGTCATTTTAAAGATGTTGCATTTGTCCGCCCCTGCCCCCATGGGATTTGGAAAAAAATAGGAAGAAGCAGTGAGACTTTTTGTGTCACCTTGTTAAATTGCAGATAATGAGAATTATTGTTTTATACCTTCTGCTACTTTAGATCACCAATGAAATTTAAATTAATAGCAAATACAGGTAATAATATGTTGAGACTCCAATAGATATGTGATTCTTAAGAAACGGGTGAAATACAGTTTGCCCAAGTGGCGTTGCCCTAATTTCATCAACTCATGAGATCGTCAAAAGAAGGGGCAGAACCCAGAGCAGATTTGGTGCCTATAGGACTCTTCTTTATCTGCTTTTGAGTCCTTTGTTATGATGCTGTTACCCCAACATGATGGCAAAAGATAGATTACATTCTCCACAACAGACTTACAGAAGATCTGTAGCATCTTACCAAAAACACTAAAGGACCAAAGCTTCCTTAGGAAGTACATTTTTTCTGCACGTTCTATGGCCTCGCAGTCGTGTCTCCAGTGAAATTTGTTGTCCAGGTGATACCAAGGTATTTATATTTCTCCACCACGTCCACTTCTTCTCCCTGATGTTAGTAAGAATCAGCTTGTCCTGTTTCTTCTAAAATCTACAATCATCTCACTTATTTTGTTTACATTCAACCTCAGATGATTGTTTCTACACCACAAAGAAGTTTAGCAGCTCCCTCTAATCAGCATCTCTGATGCATCCCAACCACTGCAGAGTCATCTGCATTTTTCTATAGATAACAGGACTAAGTGTGGTACTAGAAGCCTTTATTTGTGCAAAGTAAAAGAGACATATACATTAAAAATAGAATAATATTTGCCTGCATTCATATCTATATTTTTACAGAAGGATACTGAAAATAATTTATTTCTTACTAAAACAGAATAGGAAAAAAAGAATTATACAAAGGGGCCAGGGTTAGGGTTAAATTAAGATGATTCATTTAGTTGAAGTACAAGTTTTGCTTGATATAAAGGAGCATGATGAGAGTTGCAGCAATATCAATTTGGCACATTTTTCAAAGCACCTGAAAACACATCATTGATTGAACCTGAGTTAAACTTTATGTGGATTTAAAACAATTAGAACTACCAAACTATACTAGGGCCTCTATGCATCAAGATATGTTTGTTTTAAGGTGTCAGTAAGACCAAGAATCTGGAAATGATGCTCCAGCTTTAGAAAATCTTAGGGACAACCTCCAATGCATAATCCCCAAACAAAATTTTTTTTGGTTTCCTGGTTTCTTAGACATTCTAGCTACAATCATACGTGTCAAATCCGCCTTATGTTGTTTCCTTAATCCTTAAGCAATTACATAGAATTTCTACCTATTAAAAGAGAATGTCCAAACTTCGCTGTGGAGAAAGCAACATATACTATAATTTAATTACTCTATCAGGAATTAGAAAGAAGTAATTTTGATAACGAGGTATTGCATATGACTTTCCAGACACCCAGCACAATTTTAACGTGGTGCAACAATCAGTTAGGTTACCTCAGGCAAAAACATCTTTGGTTTTTACTTATCAGTGTGAACTGGTCTAAAGGAACTTCTGAATCCTTTATTGTTTGTTCTGTTGCAGAGCTTACATTATAATCCTTGTCTACCTTCTTCTTCTCCATATATGACACAGCTTTTGTTGGAGACCCTGAAAATCAGCAGAGTGCGAAACTCTTATCATCAACTAGTTTAGCCAAGCCTTGGTCCCATTACCATATACTTATACGCACCTTTTAGAAAGGAGCCTATTGTTCTCATTTTCATGAGAGATACACTTGAGAATATTTCTACTTTTATTGTCTTATAAAACCTTATCAAATTGGGCCGGTCAAAGTCTCTGTTGTGGATCATTTTAAACATAATTGTCTAGTACTATATCAGTTTTAGAACGGCCTTATGAGTTGAGGCTTGATTCACTCTTTGGTGTAGGTAGTTTTTCTAATGGGTATTTTGGCTAAGGAAAAATAAGATATCATTTTAGTGTTAAAAGCTGAATATGTTCAACCATATTATATCTAAATATCCCTCCTAACCTTAATACATTTTCTTGAATTCTAGCAGATTAGCATTTTACTCCATCGGTCGTATCTACAGGAGGAGAGGAGAGTCTGAAGTCGGGTCTCAAGTCACCAGCCGTTAATCAATTCATAAGAATGCGAGTATGGATTTGTGTTCTTGCCAAGGATATTCTTGAGAAGAACACAGGAAACTATAGACTTGAGGAGAACTCAGCATAAATATGGGTCAAAAAGTGACATCATCACACGCTTGGCTAGTCAGGAGCTGCATTTCTCCTCCTGTTATTAATAGTCTCTAGATAATAATAAATTCAGACTCTTTTCATTTAGTGGGGGAATAATAATTAACATTGTCAGATAAACACAAATAAAATTAACATTTTGCCAGATAAAAGAAAAAACTTGCCATCAGAGCCAGCAGTCCTTCACACACGGCTATGCCTAGAGAGGGCTGCAGCAGACTGGCTAGGAATAGACCTCGCTGCCGTTACCCCAGAGGTCCGCTCTGTGCCACGGTCCTCTCAACTTGGGAAATATTTTTTTTAATTACGCATTACGGTAGAATGGCCATATAGTGACGCTTAAAAGTATAATCTTCTAGCCGCGAATGATCTTAAAACATACTTTTATTGAACAACAGCAACAGAAAAGAGAACTTTAAACTTAATACTCTGAACTCTGTGAGTTAAGAAGATAGGCCACTTTCCCAGATTCTCCAGAATCTGTCCATGTGTGCCGCTAACTGAAAGACACGTTCTGTCAGAGCGTCCAAATGAAAAATAATAAAGTCAATACTTATAACGTTAGCATTGTTTTTAAAAACAGTCGGTAAATGCCTCAGCTCACTGACAACTTCAGTGTAGGTAGCTATCTTTGTGACTGTGGCCGGTGCCATGTAGACCGATGCAGTAAAATGCTAACCAACCAATGGGCAGAACTTGACCCTCTAAGAAACAGTCCTTCCTCATTTGCATAATGAGGCAGAAATGCAGACAAAATTGTAAAAACGACTGTCAGATATAGACAGCTTTAAAGAAAAAAAAGGGTAAATAAATACAAAGGAAGAATAAAACAGACAAAAATGTTATAACATGCACATAAATAAATAAGGTATTTAATACAAACGTGAATACATGAAGAAGCTAATTAAGAGATATATACATTTATGTCTCACTGTATAATTTAATTTCTACCTACATTTATGCTGATGAAGGTTCCCAGACATCCAGGTCATAGTCATTCCGTAAAAATTTAAAAAAATATCCACTGGACTTGGTTTCCAAGATTTGAAGACGTTTCGCCACCTCTCCAGGAAGCTTTCTCAATTGAACAACAGCAATCCAACAGCGGATCCAGACATTTGAATTGAGAAAGCTTCCTGGAGAGGTGGCGAAACGTCTTCAAATGTTGGAAACCAAGTCCAGTGGATATTTTTTTGAATTTTTACGGAATACCTACATTTATTTATATATTGTATTTTTGGGTGCAATTAATTGTATGCTGATTTATTTATGGAGCATTCATTTATTTCTTTATTTATTTTTAAATAATATAGAGCTGGTCCTCCAAAACACTTGGCAACAACGAAACTAAACTAAAAAAATATGATTAAAAGGACTAAAGAAAAAACATAGAGAGCATGAAAAAACACAAATATGAACATGGGAAAATACGACAGGACACAAAGAGCAAAAATAATCAAGAATTTAATCAAAACAAGGTAATACTTCAGTTTCCCACAGAAATCACCACCACATCTCTCCGACCAGACATTGTGGCGTGGTCCATAAAGGCAAGAGCGGTAGCCCTCATTGAGCTCACTGTGCCAATGGAGGAAGGGATCGAAGCTGCCTTTGAGCGAAAAAAGGCCAAGTATTCAGAGCTGGCTGCGGAGTGCCGGGAGGCGGGCTGGAAGACTACCATCTACCCAGTAGAGGTCGGATGCCGAGGCTTCACAGGGTTGTCGACCATACGTCTCCTGAAAGACGTGGGAGTCACGGGAGGAAGGCTGAGGAAGGCAACAAAGGAACTGGCTGAGGAGGCGGAGAAAGGGAGCTTTTGGCTCTGGCTGCGGAGGAAGGACAGAATCTGGGGGAATAACACCTAACCCCCAGATAACAGTTGCAGGGAATAACATCTTTCAGCTGCAGGGGGTGACAGGGAGACGTCCCTGTCACTGCCCCACCACCAGGAGACGTTCCAGGATTAAAGGGGCGAAACGTTGGTGAATGGTGGTTCCTGGCTGACGGCCCTGCAGCTGACCCATGGGCACCGGAGGAGGTGCGACAGGCACAAATGCAAATGCCAAGCAGGATTTAACACCCTCCTGTATTATCCATACAAAAATTTAAACTCAAAAAGTAGACTAAACATGATATTTTAAGATCATCATAGGAGTGAAATAAAATAAAATAAAAAATCTTTAAAGAACTTTTTTTGTTATTTTTATTTTAATTTCCATTCCAGTGATCATTGAATTTGTAAAGATCTCAAAATAATGTCCAAAACACTTCCATATTCATTAATTTCTTTATTAAAATATGTCTTGTTTAAACAGACTGTATAGTCCATTTTTTTTTAGCAGGATCAATCTCCTTGGTGGTCAGTTCTGTTGCACTTGATCTCAACTAGGTTAACCTCAAATCACAAGCCTGTAAAACAAAAGGAAAAAAGTGTAGCATTAGCTGCATAGGTTCTTCTGAGAAACGAGTAAAGTAAGCAACATTGGACGGCCCTCTGAGCTTATAGTGACTGTGGGAGCTTCATAGAAGTATGCTCTTAGAGGCCTCAACCTTACCTTTGATCAGACTGATCCATGCCCCAATAAAAATCTCCAAACTCTGGGTCAGATCTGACCTTCTTGACCAAACTCGTGCTTACTTTCTTTTCTGTGTGGGTGGGGCTAAATTATGTCATCATACTGTATAAGCAATGCATTAAACACGAGTCCATTTAGAAGCATTCCAAATCTGGAGCAGATGTGATGATGCAGCAGGGAGATATGACTGCTTGTAAATTTAAGGGGAGCAGTTAAGTCAAAATGATTGTCTAAGTCAGCTGAGCATCAGCAAAAGATGAAAAATTATCTGAACCATAACTCCAAGTGTCATGATCTTGGCATTGATTGCTGAGTTAATTGCTCATTCCGTTCACCTGTTTAACTCTGCCCGGTTGCTCATCTGATCCACCTGCTTCTGCCTCTATTTATGGTAATTGCATCCAGCTATCATGGCCATTCTCACTGGCCAGTGGTGAGGGGGGGGTTTAGCATACCACAGTGTTTCTGATTTCCAGTTCCTGACCTGATGTGCCTCTTTTCCACTGAGCGTGCCTTTTCTTATCTGAGTGGTCTGCCTGAACTGTCTGTGGACTCTTGGAATCCTGAATTAGCCTGTTTCTGTTCTGATGATTACCCCGGACCAGGCTACGGACTCCTGGACCTCTGAACCTTCCTGTTCTGATCTGTTTCCCTGACCTGTCTAACAGAGCCAGAAGTATGACCATGCTTTATACAGACCTTCCTAAGAAAAATGAATGGAATGGGTAAGGTCAGTGTTTGAGGATGTGCATATGTCACTTACTGGACAGAGACAGGACACAAAATGTTTGATAAAGGTACAACTTGAGCGTAGAAGGTGGTGCACTTTTATATGGCTTGAGCACTACCACATGCTTTAATGCAGCAAATAGCTTTTGATAACTTCTGACCCCTGATACATTTAGTCTGTAGTGCTTAATTGTTTTTTTAAGGCTGGAGCTTAAAAGCCCTAGGAGGAGTTTACTCAGAGAAAACACAAATAAAAGAAACACTGGGATTCGAAGTTAGTAGCACTGCTATCTTTCAGCAAAAATGTTTTGGGTTTGATTCTTTCTGCATGGAGTTTGAATGTGCTTCCTGAGCATGCTTGGGTTCTTTCTGGGAACTCCAGCTTCCTCTCACAGTCGAAAAACATGACTGTTAGGTTAATTGGGGTCTCTAAATTCTCCTTAAGTGTGAGTGTGAATGGTTGTTTAACTGAATTGTATCAGTGACAATGTTAAGTTGTGTATGTGTTTATTCCAGAAACAATTAGCAATGCGTTATGTCTTTCTTTAATAGTATGTAACAGTTTTTATTTGCATGGTGTGATATGTGAGGGGTTGTGCTTGGCTGCTGCTTAGTTTTTGGTTTGGCTCAGCTGTGAATGCTAGGTCAGGGGCGGTGCGTGAGCATTTCTGATGTCATATTTGGAAGGTTTTTGCAGTTGATTGCCACTTATTTCCAGGAAAAAAATGGATGTTTGGTTTTGCATAATTTTCTTAGCTCTTGTAGTGTTTCTAGAAGTAATAGAGACCCAAATGGATGTTTTTACTTATATTTTTAGTGATTGCAGCATTTATAGTAGCAGTTTTTCAGATACATTTTTTTGTGTGTTTGCATGTTTTGGGCTTTGCATCATATATGCTTTTGCTGTTTGTTTCTTTGTTTACTGTGCATTTGCACCTGTCAGCCACCATAAATTTTAGTCACAGGAAAAGTATACAAAGCAGCATTAGGTGAAAACTGTTAAGGTTGATTTAGGGAACAAATTTTTATTTTCAATGTAAATATCACTTCAAACTCAATAAAGATTTTTTAAATGATCATTATTATCAATTTCAAGAACAGTCCTACATGGTTTAATCTTTGAGATTTTTAGTTATAAAAAAAAAAAAAAAGATTTCCTCACCATTTCTATTCCTTCTTCTCCAGACCACAACAGCTGCACTGACAAGGCCTGTTAAAAGCAGCAGAACTCCAGCAGTAAAAACAAAGTGTTTTTCAACTGAAGATCCTGAAACAACAATAAAATATCTCTTCAAAGAAAGGAAGGTTTGTGTTGTGAGTAATCTATAATTAGATATCCTTCTTAAATGATTAAAAACAGTGCTGCTAGTCAGAACAAACAACCAATGTAAAATCAAATAAGCAAATCTGCGTTTTCTTCTTTTAATCAAATCTGGATTTGTCTTGATCATGGCCCTGTCGAGTCTGGTGGTGATTTTATCCTCTAAACCAGAGAACTGAAAAAGGCAATCATATTGGTTCCAGTCTTGATCATTGATTGACGAAACGCTGAGGTCCACACTTATCTGAAAGGTCCCATCATTATTGAGGAGGATCTCTCCGTTCTCCACTCCTTCATGGATCTCCTCTCCATTTTTCCGCCAGTACAACATGGCTCTTTCAGGAAAGAAACCAGTAGCGTGGCAGGTGACCACTGGGGAGGAAATCTTCTGGAGGAGGGACACTGAAGGATGAACTGAACACACAATCCAAAGAAATATTTGTTGAAAATCTAATTAATGGCAGGTATTTTATAATATGCTGTAAGATTTATATTTCATTTATAGCATTAACCAGTAGAAATATGATTTTTTTTTGTATGGGTTATGTATTAAACAAGTTATCACTGTAACAGCTTATGTACAAGCAGTTGTTAATAAAATAGAAATAAAGGCTTTCTAAATACATTTAATCAAAAAATCTAAACAATATGTTTAGTCTGTTGAAATTTGACTTTCAATTCTTAAAGTGGGGACCATCACGTGTTAGGGACACAAAGATTTTTGTCCAAAGCAGCAGAATTGCGAGCTATTTCTGTACCTGTTTTCTGCAATGTATTTCTCCCATAATTCAAATAAAGCTGAAGGAAACGTTTGCATTCTTCTGTCAGTGCATACTTCCAAAACAGACTATCAGTGTCCCAGTTGTGTTTGGTGATGACAGTCTGATGTCTTGGGGTGACCCATGTCAAAGTATTCAGATCAAAACGCATGAGATCTTCACCATCATAACCATACTGGTTAAAAGCATCAAAGTCTTCGGTTTCATCATCCCAAAAACATCCATTCATTCTTTGATAAATATGGATACCTGAGAAGAATACATTAAGGAAATATGTGTGAGATATATATATGTGTATATATATGTATATATATATCTCAAGGAAATTCCTACATATACATATATACATGATATAAAACAGAAATTCTAAATTCATCAATTATTCGCAATTGTGAGAAAGTGTATTTTGATGAGAACAGAAGCTTAACATGTTTAAGGACTCATGACAGATTTTCTTTTGTTTTTGTCCTGTTTTGCCATTATAGCTCTGGGAATTGATGTCCTGGAACTAGATGATAGACCAACTGCTTTGCTTTCACAAGCAGACCATTATGAATGTTGCCATAAGATTGCGCTTGGTACTTACATATATATTATGAATTAAAAATGAGCGCTGAGAGGCAATACGCAAGAAGGAAAAGGTTTCATTTTACACTGCAGAGAAGAATGACACAAACTGCTAAACTGTAAGTGTGGCTCTGGCGGGATAGCTTCCCACCCCTGCTTATAAGGAGTCTCCACACACACGAATAATGAATCTTCCTAAGACAAACACTTTAGTTCATCAGGGACATCATTTCAATCAGATAAACATTTCAGACAACTGTTCTCCGTTCATCAAGAAACAGGACGTGAGAATGATAAGGACATGTTTATATACATTTCTCCCTTATCTAAACTACAGAAGAATACTGCTTCTTTTCACACTTCCGTCCTCTTCCTACATCTCAGCATAAAGAATGGAACAGTGTTACATTCATTTAATCAAGAAAAAGGCTAAAAGTCTAATAATCCATTTCACAATTTGAAACTTTATTAAAGATGATGTAGAGAACAAATAACAGAGATGGAAAGGGAGATGAGAAAAAGAGGATAAGAACTAAGTGGAGAGAGAAAGAGATAGAAAGGAAAAAGATGAAATTATGAAAAAAAAGAAACCAAAGCAGCAAAAATAGACACATAAGAAAAACAGAAATTTCTAGAAGTCTGCTTCCACACCTGTTTGAGATGAGAGGGAAAGAAAACAGAGAAAATAACAACAGCAAAAATAAGATGACATAAAACCAAAGTAAACATCAAAAAAGCTTACAGAGCAGCAGGTATCCCTTAGATAACCATGTCTGCGGAAAGCAAATCTATGGTGATTAAAAAATAGGGTGGTATATATCTGTATCTGTATATGTAGCGGCAGCTAAGTATTTTGTATTAGTGTGTATCCGTAAACACCTGAAACAAAACTTCCATGGTATGTATGCATGGGGATGGTCATGTATTAAGGATTTAAAAAGATCACTCATGACAGATCTACTTATGCTTCCTATTTTAGACTCTTCAGAAACATGGTACTCACCCTCCGACTGGTTAAAGCGTTGTTTTAGAGTTGTAATGGCTGCTTGGAAGATCAACCAGTTGTTGTGGCATTTATTTTTCAACCACTGTAGATGCTGGGGTTCACCCTCGAATAGTTTGTTTATCCAAGGTGTTCCTGGTTTTATGTCTGTACTGTTCTCACAAGAACCAATGTGAACTCCATCAACTATTGTATAGGCAAAAAATTCAGGGAGTTTGGAGCTTCCTGAGATACCACAAAGAACATACACCAGGGAATGTGGTTCTGTGGGAAGAGATGATATCAGTTATATCAGTTATATAGCTTTCTCTTATATTCTGTTTCCAAATGACTATGCTGCAACCATGGGGCTCAAATATTTAAACAGTATATATATATATATATATATATATATATATATATATATATATATATATATATATATATATATATATATATATACACACTCACCGGCCACTTTATTAGGGACACCTGTCCAACTGCTCGTTAACACTTAATTTCTAAGCAGCCAATCACATGGCTGCAACTCAGTGCATTTAGGCATGTAGACATGGTCAAGACAATCTCCTGCAGTTCAAACCGAGCATCAGTATGGGGAAGAAAGGTGATTTGAGTGACTTTGAACGTGGCATGATTGTTGGTGCCAGAAGGGCTGGTCTGAGTATTTCAGAAACTGCTGATCTACTGGGATTTTCACGCACAACCATCTCTAGGGTTTACAGAGAATGGTCCGAAAAAGAAAAAACATCCAGTGAGCGGCAGTTCTGTGGGCGGAAATGCCTTGTTGATGCCAGAGGTCAGAGGAGAATGGCCAGACTGGTTCTAGCTTATAGAAGGGCAACAGTGACTCAAATAACCACCCGTTACAACCAAGGTGGGCAGAAGAGCATCTCTGAACGCACAGTACGTCGAACTTTGAGGCAGATGGGCTACAGCAGCAGAAGACCACACCGGGTGCCACTCCTTTCAGCTAAGAACAGGAAACTGAGGCTACAATTTGCACAAGCTCATCGAAATTGGACAATAGAAGATTGGAAAAACGTTGCCTGGTCTGATGAGTCTCGATTTCTGCTGCGACATTCGGATGGTAGGGTCAGAATTTGGCGTCTACAACATGAAAGCATGGATCCCACCTGCCTTGTATCAACGGTTCAGGCTAGTGGTGGTGGTGTCATGGTGTGGGGAATATTTTCTTGGCACTCTTTGGGCCCCTTGGTACCAATTGAGCATTGTTGCAATGCCACAGCCTACCTGAGTATTGTTGCTGACCATGTCCATCCCTTTATGACCACAATGTACCCAACTTCTGATGGCTACTTTCAGCAGGATAATGCGCCATGTCATAAAGCTGGAATCATCTCAGACTGGTTTCTTGAACATGACAATGAGTTCACTGTACTCAAATGGCCTCCACAGTCACCAGATCTCAATCCAATAGAGCATCTTTGAGATGTGGTGGAACCGGAGATTCGCATCATGGATGTGCAGCCGACAAATCTGCGGCAACTGTGTGATGCCATCATGTCAATATGGACCAAACTCCCTGAGGAATGCTTCCAGCACCTTGTTGAATCTATGCCACGAAGAATTGAGGCAGTTCTGAAGGCAAAAGGGGATCCAACCCGTTACTAGCATGGGGTACCTAATAAAGTGGCTGGTAAGTATATATATATATATATACTTACCAGCCACTTTATTATATATATATATATATAAAGGTGATGATGCTAAGTGCAGTACATCACATTATACTGGGTGATACTAGATATGTAAATAGTTTTAATTTACAATCATAAATATAATCTTTTCTCCCTTTTTTCCTTATCTCAGCTATCCTTTTAGAGCTTTACTACATCTTTATTCTTTCGAAACTCTCCTGCTCTCTCCTGCTCTCTTCATTTTAGCGGCATACTGCATCTCTATGTTTTACATGACGAGAAGGATCAGTCCCTTTTGGTAAATGGAAACTGGGATTCGAAGTTAATGTTGTATTCAGTCACGACTTTTTGTTATTGCTGTGATGTTATTTCATAAAAGTTCATTTAAAACATGCTTAAATATTACAGCGGTGCAATTAGAGGGGTGGGCAACCAGCAGGGCCTCTCACTTGATGGATCCCTTGCTGGCTGGATGCCCCAAGCAGTTGCTATCTGGTAAGTCTGCCCGTGTTTCTTTTTCATAGTACAGTCTTATAAAAATGTTATCAGCTCTGTTTTTTTCCCCTGGGCACTAAAAAGTCCACCACTGACTAAAAACAAATATCGCTTCTTTCTCACAAATATGTATCCCAAGTCCATTATAGACTCTTAGGATTTATTCACACCTGCCACATTTGGTGCGCTTTAAAGTTGTGGCCTCTCATCCAGACAAAAACACAACACAGAGAACTACCAAATGGATTCTGTTTTGGTTCCGGAAAAGTGTGAATACAAACCCTCTTCAGTTTGACCCAAATGTAGAAAATATATATCCCTCTGAATTTAACAAGCCACTGTAGTGGTAAAGATCAAATCAAAATCATATCAATTCCATGCTGACTGCTCAGCCACACTGCTGCCAACAAACAATGGATCTTCTGTTTTTCTAAAAACATACACTACCGTTCAAACGTTTGGGGTCACATTGAAATGTCCTTATTTTTGAAGGAAAACACAGTACTTTTAAATGAAGATAACTTTAAACTATACTTAACTTTAAAGAAACACACTCTATACATTGCTAATGTGGTAAATGACTATTCTAGCTGCAAATGTCTGCAGCTAGAATAGTCTGGAGCACCACAAATGTGATTTTTATAGTATACAGAATTCCCTATAGTGTTTAATTAGAAATCAGCAGACTCTGGAGCAAATGTGTTGGCAGAAGGAAAAATAACACAAACACATTTCACCTTACCTGGAGAAGCAAAATGACATATGAGAAGAAACTTTAAAAAAATCTTCATCCTGTTTTTAGGTAGCCTAGATTGTGACATCTCTCTTGTGTTATGGATATGGAAAGCAGAAAATCTTCAGATACTGAAAACAAAGACAGAGGCAACATAAGCTTCCTGACCTTAGCAGGGTTACTGTTAATTTGCGCCTTTGCAGTTTTAGACATTTCGATTTTTGAAGTTTTGTACTGACATACCCAAATCATTGACTTCTTGGAGGGCATTTCATACCAGTATTTGATATTTGTGGTTCCATACCAACTATCAAAATCCTTGCGCTCAGCTACTTTCTCATAATAATAATAATAAAAAAATAGATAAGAACTTTAAAGATGATGCAACTACATTTGAATTTCTAATACAAACGTTTAGTATTTGTGTTTTTTTTTTTTTTTTTTTAATTCCCCATACCATTTACTTTTCAGTCAGAGGCCTCTTTTTATATGTGGCCTAAAAGAAATCACTGGGTCAAAGGGTCAGCTGTCACAGCAGAGATGCCCAGACTTCCCATTCCCCAGACACCTTCTCCAGCTCTTCTAGTGGAACCCCATGGAGTTCCAACTGTGCAAAGGCAGCTCATTTTTGCCGCTTTAACCCAGAATCTTATTCTTTTGAAATTAACCATAGATGAGTGTAGGAACGTAGAACTACCATTATATTGGGAGCAATGCCTTTTAGATCAGTGATCTGTTTGCTACAACAGACTGATGCAGCATTACCAACAACTAAAAGACCTGCTTCACACTTGGATGTGGAGTACCCTAGTCCATGCTGTAGCCCTTGGCAAGAGGGAGTCAGCAGCGCTTCACCGCATCTTCTACAAATACAGAGAGGAAATCCAACATTCTCCAAACCAGACGCCTGCCCACCATTGGCTGCACCTAGAAATCCTGTCCATAAAGAACATCAACAACACTGATGACTGAGGGAAGCCAAGTCCGAGTCCAATATGCACAGCAAACATATCCAGCCTAATGCCATCAATGAGAACCAGACCCCTGCTCTGCTTGTACAGAAACCATATGAGGCCACCAACTTCATACAAAATTTTAGTCAACACACACTAAACCCATGATACCTGAATTACCTGATTAAATCAGTTTGTAGGTATTTGAGTTTTACTGAAATACCAATAAACTGTTACTCAAATGCAGTGGTGTTTGCTTTTGACACTTCTTTACTGTGCTTAAGCAGAAACTTTGGCTAGCTATACGTTACTGGAGTAATTTTTTTCTTAGACAACCTTTTACTTCTACTCCTTAAATTTTTTTTGGGGGGGGATTTAATTATTACACCTTACATTTCACAATAAGACTTGTTATTTTTGTTTTATTGAAGCTCATTCACATTATGGCTTGTTGGTATTTAGACATTTTTTAAACCATTTAAATAATTTGTTCCATCCAGACAAATTATTTCTTTGTGCTTGGATTTGGTGCTAAACCAACTTGTTGTTCACCATGCACCAAATTAAATCATTAAAATGAGTCAAAGTTAAATTTGACACTGTTACCTTTAGCAATAAAACTAAGAAAATTAAGTATGAGGAAGTTATCCAGAATTGTAAAAAAAAACTCCTTTAGTAGGGTAGTGCAGTAAAAAGTATAGGGTTTAAAGTCCTTAAAAAGTTCCCTGCATTACTTTTATGTTACTTGAGTAAGAAACAATAATACTTTTGACTCCTCTGCACAAATACAAGAAAAAAGGACAGAACATTGTTAAATATTAACTTTAAATAAGTAACTTAGTTACATTTAATGAGCAAAAGAAAGTGCTGCAAGTCCTTTTTATTACGAGAAAGAGGAGACGATCTTTTAACTATTATGTGTCTTTTCTTAAAAACAAATATAAACGTACAGCACAAAAATGTAACATGTCAATTAATCAAAGATAAATTGTTCATGTATATTGAGCAAATTTACAACACATCCTTTAAACCACCTTACCTATTATATACAGCTTTGGAAGGCATCGTGTGTTTTTAATGGGAGACATTGAAAATTTCCAATGTGCTTCTGGAGAAATGTTAAATGTAGCAAAGCAAAATACTTAAATCACAACCTACTCAAGTAAACATTTACCTTTTGTAAAAAAAAAAAAAAAAAAAAAAAAAACAGATTATAGTAAATTGTACATCATACACTTTTCATCCCTTTATTTGTTCTTTTTCATCTTGAACTCAAACATAACAGTAGAGGAAATTAATCGTTTCAGCAATGGGTTTTAAAACGAATGACGTTCTTTAACTAAAACACGTTTAGAAAATCTTGATTGTTTTAAGTTCACACTCACCTGTTGGGTGACGTTGACTTTAAAGTTGAAATACTTGATTGTGGCTGAAAATGAAAGACATTATTTTCAAAGAACCATAACTGCATCAGGTCAAAGTTCTCCTTTAAAAATATGTAAACCATTATAGTCATTTAAGCAATAAAAGAACAGTTTTAAATCCCACTACATACGTAGGGAGGTGAGGCTAAGAAATGAAGTCATGTTGACATCTTGTCCAGTAGAAAACATAAACATGGTTAATGAGATTGAGCTAGATTTGACAATAAGCTGTGGTCACAGCTTTTACATATTTAAATCACAAAATATAGTCGAGCTAAAACCACGTCTGTCTTAGTTAATCAGATGCAATGCATTTAGAGCTATAACTGGCAATCATCTATAAAAGTCTGACTGGCAGAATGCCTTTTAACTTATAAGACAAATGTCGGTACATTTCTAAAACAGAACATCTTGCCAACTGCTTTGGTTAAATTTCATTTTTCAGTGATATAAAATAATGTCTACTCATTTCAAAAACACCAAATAAAGAATCTCAATGACACATTTCTTTAGGATTTTAGATATTTAATAAGGCTAAGACAACTGTTAAAATCAACTTGTAATAATATTTAGTCAAATTAAAATAACTGTCTATATAACTGTTTTAGATTTTTACATTGCCTTTGAATAACTGTAAAAATGCTTTGGTAAAAGGCAGTTAACAGTTGTTTAAGCGATCAGTGGCAGGGGCTATAAATTCAAAATAAACGAATACTAATGTATCACACCAGTATATTTATACAAATGCCAACAACAAAAAACATTATAAAAACTCTTAAAAAAAACAAAAACATAATATGATGTACATATTAACTTTTTGTACATACATTTTGCACTTCTATCATTAAGAGAAGCAAATTTCTAAACGAGTCTATGGTGGAAGTCAGGGATGGTTTTGGGGTTAGTTTCTTCTCCATAGAGAGCATGGCCAGGGCATTGAGACAATCCTGTGACATTGTTTTTCCGAGGAGGGTCTTTATCCTCTTCAGTGTTGAGAAGCACCTCTCAGATTCAGCTGTGGTCATGGTAGTTATGATGAGGATCTGCTTGTTCAGGCTTATCCACTGCTTGTACGAAAAAAGTCATATACTATAATTGTAATAAAAAAAAAAGTGTCTGATGAGGAAACACTTATTGAATGACTTTAGACTGATGGAGCAGCAAACTCCAAGTGGAAGGCCTTCATGTCCATTTCTATGTTGTTCCCCTCCATCTATTGAGACTTGAGACTGATTCAGATTATGTAGTAGACAATGTAGTAGGCACCAATAAAGAAACAAATTCTAAGTTTTGTGGGGACAGCAAACAATATAAAATGTTAATTTATTTATTCATCCTTTTAAACAAAGATCCTAAAGTCAGTGGTTGAAGAATATGTCGCCTATGTGATGTGGTAAGAATACGGTGACCAGATTTCTGAAATCCAAATGTAGATAAAAATACATATATGTTATAAAAATTAAAATAGGAAACAGGGACAGTGATGTTTTCACTCATTCTTAAATATTTATTAATACTGAAACAACAAAAATCAATTGTAAAATCCAGGAATTTGCCACTACTATTTCCTAAGATCAATCTATCAACAGTGTTTATTGGTGCCATCTGGTAATTTAGTCTTCTCTATCTTCTTCCCTCTCCATCTTCTTTTCTTTCTAGGTGTTTTTTGCCGGCTCTCTGTTTCATTCTTCTTGTCGGGTTAAGTGGAGGTTTGAGAGGAGGACCCAAATGCAGAGACTGAAGCTGAAGGTGGTTTCTTGCAATTTTAATACAAAAAATGGCAACAGAAGCAAAGTCCAACCTAACAAAATGCAGAAAAACCTAAATCCGGGAGATATTGGGGAAAACTCATAAGGGACAAAGAAATGATGACGACGAACCAGCAAAAAGTGACTGAGCAGGAGGTGTATAAATGGGAAACAGAAAATTAAGACCAGGCTAATCAGAAGATCGGGAGCAGGTGTGGATAGAGGAATCTATGGGAAAGGAGACTGACACAAGCCGGCAACAGAGGGCAAACAAGAAATACCTAAGAATTAAGATACAATAAAAAATAACAAGAATAACACAAAATGGAAATAAAACAATGAAAACTCAGAGAGAAAAATAAAACCAAACCTATGACACTTCTAAGTAGATTTTTCTTCCTTCCTTTCAACTAATCTTTCCATGATTGTCCCCATTTTCCCTTCTCTTTTTCAATCTTCTATCAGTCCTATAATATTCTTCCTCTCCTCTCCTCTCAATCTCAATCTTATCTAAAACAGGGACATAATACAATCAAAATTCATTCCCAACACATATAATCTCATCATACATATTATGATTGTTGTGATGATGGTGATTATTATTATTATTTAACCTGATTAAATGCTAAAAAGGCTAATCACCACAATATTTGGAGCTACAAGTGAAAACATCATAACAAATGAACATCAAACAGGCAGTTATCTCTTCCTCTATCATTTTCATATCATGCAGATCTTGTCTCATTCAGTTTTCCTTTTACTTTTTACTTTATTTTTATAAAGAGGAATTTTACTATATCTAAACTGAGTGGTAGAAAAGTAGAACTAAGCCTGGAAGTCTATGTTCATATAGCAAAACCATAAAACAGCAAAACAACGTACAACTCTACTTACAATAACTATCTGAAGATATAAAGTAAAGTGGTACGCTCTGCTCCTAATATATACGTTAACAGCTGCTTATCAGCTAGCTACCATCTGTTTCTGTGTGAAGCATGCTCACATTCTCTTTCTACCATAATAACAGACTACACACAAAATTACCCCCCTCATTCATAAAACGGTAAAATCGGGGGCAGCTTTAGCTGGGGACAGGTGGTCCAAAACGGGGACTATCCCTGGAAATCGGGGACGTCGTTAAGTTTAGTTACAACCCTAGTCATCCTGGTGTCCTTTATATCATAAGCCTGAAAAAAAGTAGAGAGATTGAAGAATTAGCCACAGAAATTGTGCTGGAAAAAGTAAGAGGATAATTCAGAGCTCTATTTATTACAACATGTAACTCAAGACCAGGATCAGCAACACTGCCACAAACCTTCACAATACAACTACTGGTATGGTGGCAGTGTGTGTTACTAACCTTCTGAGGACCAACGGGTATTTTGGGGACCAAAGGCTGGTCCTAATGGTGTGAACCCCCATTTTTAACCATGGAGAGTCAGTTTAGGGTATGATGTGAATTAACTTTAGGCTAAGGTTAGGGGTAGGAATATACTGATAATTGTTAAGGTAAAAGTCAGGGTTTGGTGTGAATGCAGTAACTAAACTGAATGTAAGTCAATGTATGGATAGAAATACAAACTTGTGTGTGTGTGTGGGCAGAGGGGGGACAGAGAGACAGGCAGATATAAGAGGGAGACTCAACAGATAAAACTCACAAATAAAAAAGTGCAAGAAAATTGTTCTTCTCTGGGGATTATTAACATACCTTATTTACCACAGTTGACAGGTTAATTAACCCCTGTATGACTGTAGCATCTGATCTCCACTCTACCATGGTCTTCAATGTTTGCTACGTTGAAAGCCTAAAGACACAAGCCTAGTAAACTAGCCCTACATGCCAGCGGACAAAATAATTTTTGCCTGCGAGTTTGGTCTAGCCTCAATCAATGCCCCAGGCCCTAAAACTGGCAGGCCAATCACAACGCAGAGATGTGCTTTGAATTTCTGGATGCAAAGAGGGCGGGGTTTTGAGGGCGGGACGACAAAGCTGCGCAATGCTGAAGAAAGCACAACAAGAAGGATAGCAACAATGAATGAATAGTTCTCCTTTGACTCAGCTTCGGAATCAGTTTAGGAAAGATTAGACTTGGGGTTTTCGTTGAAACGTGAGCAGGAAGAGGCCCTTTGCTTATTCATTTTTTTCGCCGCTTTACCCACAGCACTCACCAGCTTACCCACTCCCTCACAAGCTTTCTGTCACGCTTACAGTTAGTTGCGCTCATTACTAAATTACACATTTAATTCCACATTTAGTCTGGTTTATCATGCTATAAAGATACCCTAAAGATTAGAGGGGCTTTCTGAAAAATGTCCAGTACCAAAGTTGTCTACAACTGAAGCTGATTTTTATTGTTTCCCAATTTCACCAAATAAACTACAACAACCTATGATGCATTATAGCCCAAATAAAATCTTCCTCCTATTGCTTTGATTTTTTTACCCACAGCTTTCTTTAGAACAGCTCTTTCTGTGCAACACATTCTCTTACTCAACTTGTAAAAAGGCATAGCCTTGATCATAAGCCCCTTCATATCAGATACTGAAAGGATAGGTTTACCCCCCATGCAGCATGCACCTCAGTTTGCAGTAATTGTTTCACATTAAGCACGTGACCTGCAACAAAAATTGTTGTCTATAAAGTTATTGCTGGTAGCTTTAGGAGTGTATGGTAACATATAAACTAGTGTTTGTAAAGGTGTAGGGGTTAGGGTGAGGGATGGGTTGCAGTTAGTTTATAAGCCTTCAGTTCATAGATAATTTTTGCAGGTTCCTGTCACAAACTCTCATATACCCTGCATGTCAATAAATGACAAGTCAATAAATGACAATGTCATATTGTGGTAGACCTACTGCCAATTTTAAACATTACACAACAAACACGTTAGAGTGAGGCTACTTTGGCATGTCATGACGTCTAATTTAACTCAAATTATTAACACATCCTGAAAAAACAATTATCAAACTGCTGTTAGGGACATGGACAAGCTGCTACTGCAGAACTAAAGGCTTCTCTCAAACCTCCTGTTCATCAATGAGATTTCTGACAAAATACTGTATCAGCAATTACCTTCCTAACAATGGAAGTCACTTGTTCCACTTATCTGGGTATAGCATACCTTCAGAGGCTCATAAGAGAGCAGCAAAGTCTCAGCAAGAACTTGAAAAACAAATAATCCCCACCCCCCCACCAAAAAAATAAAAAATCAGCTAAAGTGAATCCAGAATACTGCTGCCCATGTCTTCACTAAAACTAAGACAGTTGAGAACATTCTTCCAGGTCCACAGTCTTTCCAACGGCTCCCCATA